GCTGGGATGTGGGGTGCAGAGCCTGGATGCGACCCCCCAGCCGGGGCATGCGGCTCCCACCACCCATCCCAAGGCCGGAGGTGGGCACCCCACCCCTCACCCTTGGGACCCCATGACAGTGGTGGGAGCTGAGGATGGAAGTGTCATGGCAGCGATGGGTGCTGCAGGAGTGGACAAAGCCACTGCTAAGCGGTGCCTGCATCCAGCCACGCCAGCCCTTTGTGCGCCCTGAAAAACAGCCGAGCAGGAGAAAGCCGGGGCTGCCAGGAGCCAGAGGGAGGAGGGTAGGCAGCGAGGGCTCCGGGAAGTGCCCTGGGTAAATAGTTGCTCTTGCAGATATTTTCAATGCCTTGAATGAGACTTTTCTTTGTGCTGGGGGAAGGGTGGAAACAACCTCTCGCTCCAGCAGGGAAGGCAATGGAGATAAAAGGTGGCTGCGGCACCGGAGGTGCCATGGCTGCGCTGGGACTCCCATAGCGAGGGACATCCCACATGCTCACATCGCTCCCCAGCTTGGTTTAATTTCCAGCTCCAAGCCCCGAATTTCCCCAGCTCCCATGGGAAGGGGCTCCCATGGGAAGCGGCTCACGCGGCTGCACGCGGCCAGACCATGGCTAACGCGGACGCCTTTGGAGCCCAACCGTCCCCACGCCGCAGGGAACAGGGCTGGCTCCGAAATGCACTCTCACGGCAGCTGGAGCCACTGGAGCATTGCAGCGAGCCAAGCCTCCCGCTGCGGGTCATCCCGACCGGCTCCTTTACGAAATGCTGTAAATCCACCTCCCAGGAATAACACTGCTAAACCCAGTGGCAGCTCCCGCAGGATCAGGCCCTCCTCAGGGGAGGGGGTGGGGATAAGGTGTGGACCCTGTGTCCCAGTGAGGAAAGGACATTTTAGGCCATCTTTTTGCTGCGATTTATAGAACAAAGAGCCTTTTGTCCCCACTTGACGTTATCAGGCGTTATTTTTAGGTCGACGGCTGCACTTGTTGATGTTATCGGGATTATCTGTAAGTCAGCAGGCCGTGCTGCTGTCTTCAAAGACGCTGGCTGAGTGCAGGGAGGGAGGAAATCCTTGTCCCTTGCAAGGGACATTTGCCCTTGGGCTCAGGCCAGTTTAAGGGTTTATTGCTCAAGCTGGGCAGTTCCTCAAAGCCCCAAAAGTTCCTGAAAACCCTAAAAGTTCCTCAAAGCTGTAGAAGTTCCTAAAACCCCTCAAAGCTCCTAAAAACCCTCAAAGCTCCTCAAAACCCTAAAAGCTCCTAAAAGCCCTATAAGTTCCTAAAAGCCCTAAAAGATCCTAAAAACTTTAAAAGCTCCTAAAGCCCTAAAAGTTCATAAAAGCCCTAAAAATTCCTAAAAGCCCTAAAAGCTCCTTCAAACTCTAAAAGCTCCTAAAAGCCTTAAAAATTCCTCAAAACCCTAAAAGTTCCTAAAAGCCCTAAAAGCTCCTAAAAGCCCTAAAACATCCTAAAAACCTTAAAAGCTCCTAAAGCCCTAAAAACTCCTAAAAGCACTAAAAGTTCCTAAAAACCCTAAAAGATCCTAAAAGCTCCTCAAGGCCCCAGTGCTGGTGGCAGGCGAGCAGGAGCATGCTGGGGGAACGCAGCGGCGCAGCGGTGGGATGGGCAGGTTCTGGCAGGCGAGGGCACGTTCCGCCAGGCTGCTGGTGGCCAAGGCGAGGCAAGTACGGGCAGAGGTGCCCTGGCGCCGCCTGAAGCCAAGGGTGAGCTGGTGAGTGCCAGCCCCACTGCCAAGCGGTGCCAGCCCCAGCCCAGGGTGCCGAGACACACCTAAAAGCCCCTTGGGAGATCATGGTGCTCCCAGGGGACGTGCAACCGCGAGTGGGGCTCAGTCCAGCTCCGGTGGGTGGAAGAGGAGGGTGAGGATGAGGATGATGAAGCAGACCAGTGCTGGTGGGAGGGGGATGCCCGGAGGTCCCCCATCCAGTGAGTGATGCCAGGGCAGCCTTGGGAACCTCGGAGGATGGTGACCCCAGGGAAGCCCAAGGAAGCTCTGTGGGGTACAAGCTCTGTGGAAGCGGCTGTGGGTACTCCTGCTCCCTCCAGTTGCCGCTGCTCCACCTCCCTCAGCCTTGCTCCCAAAAATACATCAAAGGGGGAGGTGGGTCCCCCCCACCCCACATTGTGATTTCTCAGTTGGGCAGCAACGATAACAGTGACTCACCAGGTGCCAGGCTTTAAAACTCAACTGTAGAAAGAGCAATAAACCCGACTTACTTGTTTAGGCTCAGCTTTGCAAATAACCCATGATGATGTCAGAGAAGTCTGGGGAAAATTGGTCCCCGGAGGTATTTGCACAAGCACTGGGTGAATGCTGCCATGGGATGCGGGAACCGGGCTCATCTGCTACCCAGCAGCCAAGTCCCAAAGTTGGATCCCAAAATAGAGCCCAGGTCTGCCCACCCCCCACTCCCATTCCCAAATGGATTTAGTCTTCCCTGGCTGCTTGTTTCCCCAAAATTTGGATGATTTGCAGTATTTCCAGAGCTTTCCCCCTGGGGCTAGGGCTGGCACTGGAGCCTGAAGGCACCACGGTGATGCCAAGCTGCCTTTCCTGGGGAAAAAAAGGTTGGCAACAACCCCCTCCAGCTGCCCAGCACCAGCCTCCTGCCCGATAAGGCACAGGAGAAGGTAAACAGGATCGCTTCTCCTTGGGGAGGTTAGACGGGCCGGCTCCCCCTTCTCCCACCTGCGGTGCCCCAGGGCTGGGATGAGCTGGCCCTGGTGCTGGGGGGCGCTGGGGGTGGTGGGAGTTGGGAGCCCACCCTGCGCTCCCAGGGGACCTCAGGGAGTATTTTGACCCTGCTCCTGGCACGGCGGGGTGGGAAATGTGCCTTTTCTGCCTCCAGTCGCCAGCAATGGGCTCAGCTCCCCGGGGACCACTGTGTCCCACCAGTCCCCAACAGCAGGCTCAGCTCCCTGGGAAACACCGTGCGCCGTGGGTGCTGTGTTCCCGCTGCCAGGAGGCAACCACCAAGCGATGGTTTTCCAAGCACCACCGGATACTGGGACAAGGTTTATTCATGTGCCAGTGTTGGTGCATATGCAGGCACCGGCAGGCAGTGTCATTCATGCCGCAAGCCCCAAAATCTCGAGATGGGGAGGAAGGTGCATAGAAAGCGCAGCCCAAGAGCAACCGGGGGGATGGAGCCGCCACAGCTGGGATGTGACTCTCCCACGGTGGGGCTCACGGGGGACAAGCCGCATGCTTGGCACCTCACCAAACGCCCAGGCTTCTTATTTAATAGCTGAAGTCAGTCGCCGGATCGGTGACACATGCACAGCTCATTGCCACACAGCGAGCCGGGGGCACCATGGTGCCTGGCGGCTGGAAGGCGGGGGGACACACAGCCCTGACGGGACGGGCTTTTATCCTGGCCACCGGCAGGAGGGATGGAAACTCAGCGGCGCTGGCTGCCCTTTGTGCACGGAACAAAGAACAAGAGCCAATGGCTTCCTTCACTGCCCAGAACCAGGCCCTGGGAAGCAGCCAGAAAGGGAAATGCTGCTCGGCAGAGCAGCATGGGAAGGCAGAGACGGGCAGCGTGTCACTCTGTGAGGCTGCCTGCTGATGCCGGTCCCCTGCTGCCAGACCAGAAATGGGCAGCACCAGCAAATGGCACCTCACTGGTGCACCCCACAAGCTACAAGCATGGGGACAATGGGAACCCTGCTGCCACCACAGGCAGATTTGTGGCCATGCCAGCATCACTGCAGTGTGATGCCGCTCTGCATCCCGGCAGGCAGAGTGGGATGCCCAACTCCAAAATCTCAGGCACCAGGAAAGGCAAAACCATGGGTGCAGTTCTGGGTTAAGCCTGGAGTACAGGGATGCGCTGGTGGATCAGGGCTGACTCGCCACCTCCAACCATTGGTTTTAGTCCCTGCAACTTGTCCTCAGTATTTATTTCCCTCAGGCTGGACTGCTTAAACCCTGATAAAGCATTTGGTCGCGTTCAAGAGCTCTGCTCAGGGTCTGCCTTCCTAAGTGAGAGCAGGAGGAAAGACGAGTTATTGGTTCACTTACTCACTTCCCACCCTCTCTGCCCTGGGACATCCGCCTGACGCCAAGCCGAGGCCCTGCTCACTCGTTTGCCCACTGACTTGGGGCTGCGGGTGGCCTCTGTCCCCATGCTGGCTTTGGGGTGAGCAGGAGGGCTTTTGGTGGGGTGCTGTCATCAGTGAAAACCCAGGGTCAGGGGGGTTTTGGGGGTGCCACGGCCACACTTGCCAGCCCACAACTGTGCCGGCACCAAAGGGGTTGAGGGGGATATAGCCAGGGAGATCCCGCTTCCGCCTGTCCCATGTGAGATGATCTGGTGGCAGCTCCCTGAGGGTGCTCGGACCTTCCCTCCCAGCTGTCAGGAGGCTCCTCTGCACCACTAACCGGCACCGCTAACCAGCACCACTGGAGGCCCATGGGCCTGCCTTGTGCACAGTCCAGAGCTGGGACCATCTTTGAAATCCTCGTGCCATCTAGTGGGACCTTCACTAACGACAAGACAGAGCATGGCTGCCAGCTCTGCCAGCTCTGCCCGCCATGGGGCCGGGGGTGACGAGGTGGCAGCAGACAGCTGTGGGCCCCCAGCCAGAGCTGCACCGCTCCTCTGGCAGTGGAGGAGACCTGCATCGGCAATTAAATGGTGCTTTTAATGAGAAGTGCAAGCCTTCAGCAGAAGTCAGTGTTCGTTACTAATGGAGGGGCTGCAAGCCAGCAGGGTTGCCCTGGGCCAGCGCGCGGGCAGTGATGGTCCCCAGGGGAGCGCAGCACCCGTGGGGCCCTGAGCCACAGCCCCCCCAGCAGCCCGCAGCTCCCGCCACTCAGAAATCTGGCTTTGCAGCCCAAATGCTTCCCCTGAAGAAACCTGCGGCATCCATGGCGCCAGCTGTCAAGCCCAGGGGAAGCTGCCATGCCACATCCTCGGGGAGCAGCCCCCAAGCTCCCCTTGCAGCCACTCACCCCAGCACTGGGGCGCGTTATCTGGAGGTGTTGCTGACGGAGCCCGACTTGCTGCGGCGGTGCACAGTGATGTACCAGATGCAGACAAAGAGACCTGTGGGTGGGTGGCAACGTGGTCACTGCTGTGGGTGCACCGAGCTCCTGCGAGGGGCAGGAAGGTGACAAGGACCCCACTGCTCCCAGTCCATGGGGTGCTCGTCTCCCAAAAGCCTGCCAGTGCTCCCCACTGACCTTGCAGGGAGTTGAGGATGGTGAAGAGGTAGAGCTGGGGGACGAAGAAGACACCAAAGCTGAAGAAGACCAGACCCCAGGTGGTGCCCAGCAGGCAGGTAAGCCCCAGCACTGTCATGCAGTCCTTCCTTGCCTGCCCCTTCTGCCGATGTATCCTCCGCAGTATCATCATCACCCTCCCCAGGACCAGCATGTTGAAGAGCAGGATGAGGCCGGCGTAGGAGAAGGTGGCGTAATAGGCCTGCAGGCTGGTGAGCCAGCACCTGGCGGAGGAGACTGTCTTGGGGACAAGAGCCAGCACCCCCAAGAAGGAGCTGGGCATGGGAAGGGCATGGCAGTGGGTGTCCCCATGAACAGCGAGATGGAGTCAGGCAGCCAGCAGAGCTGGGCTCACCAAAAAGTGGCACCCAGCAGAGTTATGGCTGGCTCCTGCTGGCCCCAGCCCTGGGTCAGCCCCGTGTGCCTGGGGTGCCCAGGGTGCCCGGGGTTCCTGGAGTGCCCAGGGTGCCCAGGCTGCAGGGTGCCCAGTGTGCCCCATGTGCCCAGGATGCCTGGCATGTCCAGGGTGCCTGCTGTGCCCAAGGTGCATGGTGTGCTCAGAGTGCACAGGGTGCCTGGTGTGTCCAGGGTGCCTGGCATGCCCAGGGTGCATGCTGTGCCTGCAGTTCATGCTGTGCCCGGGGTGTTCAGGGTGCATGCTGTGCCTGGGCTGCATGCCATGCCTGCAGTCTGAGGTGCCAGGGTGCCCGGGGTGCCCAGTGTGCCTGGGGTGTATGGTGTGCCAGGGGTGGCTGGGGTCTATGGGGTGCCCAGGGTTCATGGGGTGCCCGGTGTGCCCAGGGTACCCGGGGAGCTGGCAGCCCCCTTCACTCACATAGTTGCGTTCCTGTAGCCTTCAGAGGTCCTGATGGTATGGTACCCATACGTATCTCTCTTGAAGACAAAAACAGCCACCACGGCCAGCGTGGGCAGACCTGCGGGCCCAGGGACAGGCTGTGTGGGGCCATGCCGGGGCAGCTGTGCTGCAGGCAGACGTGGGCAGGCAGGGCTGGGCGGGTGCCCACTTACCCCAAGCAAAGAGGCAGAGCTTGAGGAGGTAGTGCTGGATGTAGACATTGTAGACCTTGATGAGGAGGAGGAGGAGGTGGAAGGCCTCAGCGGCCATCCATGCCAGGGTGTAGAGAAGGCTGGCATGCAGCAGGGTGGCGGTGATCTGGCAGAGCCCCTTGGCACTGGCAGCCAGCAGCGGACTCAGCAG